AGATGGCCTGTAGTGAGCAGCTGGTAGGTGCCTTCCTTCTCTTGAAATGGTTATTGGCACATTGCACCACTGGGAGGCACTGGTCTCCCAGGGACCTTGCAGAGGAGATCCAGATATTGATTTCATGCCTCCCAAAGCACCTCTTCCTCAGACTACATGGGTTCACAAGGGTGCCCTGGAGAACAGCAGTTTTTTGTGCCTGAAACTTGTATCTATTCTACCCCGGGAGGAAAGCAGAACCTTTCAGGCATTTTCTTAGGAGCAGAGATGTCTGGAGATTCATGCTGAGAGCTGTTTGGTGATTATGGCACTAGCCTGGGGTGTAGGAATCCCTTGTGTGCCTCACTTTGTGGTAGAAAGCTCCATTATCCGACTTCCCCATCACAAACCCAGATGCCTTCTTGGGACTTGGGAGTCTAAGTCACTTGGGTGCTTTTGAAAACGTTTCCCATTACAGATAGGGAAACTGCTTGCTGGGATTTGGGAGTGCTATATATTATTAGCACTTCATCTGGCATAATTACATTCTCCTCATCACTTCAGGTGCTATTTGAACAGTGACTCTCAAGCTTTTTTAGACTCTAGACAACCCTCAGAAAATGCCAGCTCTTAGTTTTTCCCTTGTTTTCTTTGGCTGTGGAAAAATAACAACAATTTCTTCTGTTGCAAAAAAAAGAAAGACCCCAGCAGCTCAGAAGGTTTTTAATACGATGGATTCCTGTTTGACAGTGCTGAGTTTATATTTTGAATCATACTTGCGCACCTAACAGGGCTAACACTGCGTGGCACCCTACAGCACTCTTGAAAGGAGGTGAGCTGGAAACCTAGCTGGCAATAAGGAAAAGTTGAGCTGGCTACTCAAATTCGTTGGGTAAAATAGAAACACTGAAAGGCCCTGCCTCTGCCACGGGGTATCTAGCTGCCAGGGCGGCGTGGTTCATCACAAGGTTCTGTTTGTCTAATGGCTTTTATCCATCTTCTCCTTCAGGCTTCTGAAAGCGGGAGGAAAGTGATAATGCTTTCCCTGGAAGATGTGAGGAGGGTGATACGAAACAATACTTATCTTTTGAGACAGCGGGTAAGTGTCTTTTGGTGCACGTGTTCCAGGCTCCTCTTCAGAAACTTCTTTGCGGTTGACTGATGTGCCCTGAGGTGGTTGAGCGCTCTGCAGCTAGCTTGGCGGGAGCCCACGGCAGCGTGGTTCTAACCAGTCTTGAGGCTACCTGGAAAGATGAAATGGAAGGATAGAAACTTATGTCGGCATCCCTCTGCCTCTACAATCGTGTTGGTATGGATGGCCTCACATTATAAATGCCTGTGTAAGACAACCAGACAAACAGGAAGAAAGGGTGCCTGTAGTCTGACTGCCATCTGGAAATGGGTGTCCTCTTCATTTAACGTGTGGTATGGGTTTAGCCCCTGTGTGCAGGTGAAATAACTAAAAGCCTGAAACGGACACTTGGCTGACTGAAATATGTGCTGTTCCATTGAGTGCTGACCTGGAGCAGCTGGTGACCTGGCTTGCCCTGGGGCATGCGTGTCTCTAACCCTAGCTCCTTTTGTGTTGTGCAGAGCCAACTGCCAAAGAAACGCCCCGGCGGCATTCCAAGTATGGAGTCTGGCACCTGGAGCCTGGACCTGCCTGTCAGTGAAATGCTGGAGGCATTGAAGGACAACTCACAGAAGAACCGACGCCGGCAGAAAGAGCTGATGCAAAGGCAGGTCTACGACCGGAGGCTGCTGATGGCGGTAACTCCGTGGGTGGGCAACGTCATCCTGCCATATGACTTTGGTGTTGAGAAGCGGCCGTCTGTTCAGACCAAAGGTACAGGTGACCCATTGGGTAGTTGTTCCTCCCTGGGGTGAGCTTGGGGCCAGGCTTCTCGGCCAAGCCTCTGGGTTCTTCCCTCCAAACCTGGTTCTTAGGGCCTTTTCACCTCAATGCCAAAGCAACTTCAGAATACAAAAGTGTTGTATCGATTGCTTGTGCTTGTGACGTGTAAATGGAGGCCCAGGCAGGTATGGTGAGTTGCCTCATCCTGTCTGCAGAGAAGGATAAGAACTGGCAATAGAAGCCAGGCATATCCTGACTGACATCCCTCCATGAACACATCGGGACCACACTTGTCCCGATCAGACCGTACTGTGGTGTTACAGTGGCTTGGGGTAGGGAGAGGTTTGTACAAAAGGCAGGAAGAACATGCATCCTTATTTAATCTATGTTAATCATTCTTGGCTATACATCCACCTTAGGTGGGGTTTTACTTTGTGTTCAGTAAGAGCAGAGTGGGTTTCAGATGATACTGTTCAGCTCCTCTCCAGGCTAACACTTGATGGAGGCTGCTAAGGACTCTCGGTAGACAGCGTGTGAACGTCCAGTTAATTCGTACTTTTACGCTGTGCTCTCTTCCAGCTGATGTCATTCAAAAGCGACTGCAGTCGGTCACTCTCTCCAGCACCCCTCTTTTCACACTGTTCATTCAGGTAGGCCTCATACCGTGCAGTGGATCTGCAGAGACCTCGACCGAGTGGATGCAGGTTCTCGGCCGGCTGCAGGTGGAGGGGTGGTGTAGGAGATGCCTACAAGCATCCCAGCGGAGCTCTAACGCGAGCCTTCCCTGCCTTGCAGTTCTTCCAGGTCAACACTAACGGTTGCATGAAGGTGATACGCGAGAGGAGGCTGAAGCAGACGGAGCTTTTCCGGGCAGTGATGACCAACGCACAGAAACCACCGCAGGTACTGCACGGGTGCCTGGGTCCTGCAGCAGTAGGGGGTGGAACTCAGTGGCTGCCTGAGATAAGGGAAGTAATTTGTCTGGCTCCATCAGATCCTGATTGATGCAGGAAAGGATAAGAGCAGTAACTGTGGCCCAATACCTCAAACCTCTCAGCTCTGTCCAAAACTCTTTGGGCTATAGCTCAGCCCCTTCCTCTCTGATTTCCCCATCTGTAAGATGAGGCTGGGGGGCATTATTCACTTCTGAATCTCAAGGGAACTTCCTTTGTAGCAGTAATGAGGATCATGAGTTGTTCCCTGTGCCTGACCCAATCCCCCTTTCACCTCCACCAGAATGGCTAGAACATGAATCAAAAAGCTGCCTTTGACTTGGCTGCAATCTCCTGATGCTCTTCTATAGGTCGCTCAGTGCCTCCCAGGTCAGGAAGTGCCGAATAAACCTCCCAGGAAGCCAGTAGCTGCAGAGGCCGCACCTGGCACAGGGGCTGTGCCCAAAAAGAAGTCTGCTCCTCCAGCGGTGGCAAGCACAGCTCCTGTCCCCACCGTTCTGGAAGGTCCTGTCCAGAAGCAGAACCTGAGGCCACAGAGGCAGCTCCCACTACTGAAGCCAAAGCCTAAATCGGTCTCTGAGCTGCTGCAGGACAAGCGTCTGCGGGAGTCTCGGGCCAAGAAGGCTCTTCAGAGAACTATGATCCTCGCACCTCAGGTGTTGGTCCCATCTTCTGCCATCCTTCAGCCAGTCATTCCTCAGGCGCCGGGAGGGAGCAAGCCTGCCACGGCCATGCCCCTCGGGGATGTGAGCACCCCACCGCAGCCGGCACCAACTCTGGGGCCAACGTTTCTGTCCCTTCTGGTTTCTGCACCACCTGTCCCGCAGTCGGCCCCGAGCTCCGGTTCCTCCCAGAAGGTGAAAAAACAGTCGAAGAGGAAGAGGAAGCGGAACGAGGACAACCCAGGAGGCGCTTCTGAGGAGGAGGCCTCCCAGGACAAAGCTGCAGAGGGGCCCAGCCTGCCCCAGGACTGTAAGAAGGCTCAGGTGTTGGGGGGCAGCTCCATGCCATTGGTGCTGCAAAGCCAGGCCTTCATGCCCCACCAGATTGCGGTGCTGCAGTCCCCTCCTGTCACACTGAGCCCTGCAGGGGTGGCAGCAGGTGTGCAAAACATCCCTCACTCGGTGCTCACCACTAGTGCCCCGGCACCTGGAAGTGTCCAGCAGAGTCCAGTCAGCTTGGTGCCTGCTGTTGTGACTCCCCAAAGCAGCACCCACCTGGTCCCCAGCAACCTGGTGCCCATCACCTGGCTGATGACACCCCAGGGCTTGATTCCCGCTAGAGTGCAGACACTCGTGGGCTTGCAGAACCAGAAGATGCTGTCTGTTGCTCTTGAAAGCCAGGCCTCCTCAGCAGAGCACACCAAAGTAGCCCCCTTGGACATGACAGTGTCCCGAGCATCCTCCAGGCCTAGCAGCACACCTCCTGCTGGCAGCACAGCCACGGAAGTGCCAAGCCTGCCAGTTGCAGAAGGGGCATCCCCGGTCATTGCCACGGGTTCGAGCCCCTCTGCTCACTCTGCCTCAGAGCCACAGCAAAGCTTGCTGCTTCCAGCCCCTGTCCCCGATCTTGCGAGGTCTGCAGACTCCTCCACAAAGCAGGGTGCGGTGCTGGCTGCCCTTCCTGCTGACTCCTCTGCTCTGCGTGCTGCCCCCACGCCGGTGCCTCTCCACGACCCCCCAGCAGGCACCCAGCATGCCCATTCACTCTGCCCTCTGAGCCCTGCCAGCCAGGCTGAGAGCAGTAGCTGCATTGTAATCAACACCTCGGAGAATGGGTCAAACGTGCCAGTGCTGCAGACGGATCAGCGTCCCTCCAGCAACGTCCCCACAGGGAGCGCCAATGGCATCGCTGCCCTGGCCACAAAGGATGTGCCCGTGGCCTTGGAGCCTAGTGATACTCTCCCCCAGCCTTCTCCCCCCAGGGGTGAAAAGAGCCCCTTAGACTACAGCCTCATCACTCTTGAGGGTGAGGCCTCGGTGAAGGAGTGGCTGAAGGAGACCCCGAGTGTCCCGGTGTCCACTGGGAGCAGTAAACTGCCTTACTTGCCACCTTTCATTTGCAACCTCAAAACCCTCTCCCGGCTGCTGCTGCAGAAGAAGACACTGGAGCAGAATGCCTTGGCCTTGGTGTCAGCTGGGAAGAGCCAGGGTGGGGACACCAAAGCCGACCTGCGCCCCATCCGGGAGCTGGTAAGGCAAAAGCTCGGTGGAAACCCAGCTTATCTGATGCTGAAAGCCAGGTTCCTGGCAGCCTTCACCCTTCCTGCCGTCCTGGCTACCCTCCCCCCGCCAAAGGTGACCACAACCCTGTCCAAGAGAAGGCCGAGCCGGGAGGGTGATGGGGAGTTGTCGCTGACTGAGGAGGAGCTGGCCGAGGAGGAGATCTGCCAGGAGCCGACTGAGGGGCCATCCAACGGCACCGAGGGCCCAGCACTCGGGGGCGAGGATGCCAACCTGCCTACTCAGGTAAAGCGGGGGGAAGCTGCAAACCCAGTAGAGACAGTGTTGCACCAACCACAATCCTGCTCCCAGGGGAGCCCATAGCAAAGCACCCATTGGCAACGGGACAGGATTTGGCCCTTTTGGGGTCAGCATGGTGAGCAGTGGGGAGGGAAAAGCTGCTCACAGTACCTAGTGCAGCCAGTCAGCTTCCCCTCACATTGCTCCACTCCCTGTGCTGGGTGCAGAAGGTAGCACCTGAATTGCCCCCTGGGGGGGGACCCTTCTGATGAAGCATCACTGCTTTCCACCCCGAGAGCCTCTTCCCCAGCAGCATCTGGAGCCCAGTCACTGCAGCTTGCCCTTGAGCCTGGTATTGAGCTCAGTGTAGCATATGAGACTTTTGCTTGATCATGGTGGTGTCTGGGTTGGAGACCCAGAGCTGTTCTGTTTTGAAGGGGTCGGGGGAAGCTGGAATTAAGGGTCCAGGGACCTCAGAGATTGGTTTCAGCCACAGGAGACAACTGATGCTCTTGAGAATGGCTGATTCCTGGTGATCTCTAGGTAGCCTCCACCCTCTGTTCCAGCTGGACTGAATTTGTCCCAGACCAAAGCGGTGGGGACTTTGGCCATCAGCTGGGACTCCCAACCTCTGGCTTCTGTGGCCCAAACCGCCTGGTCCTGCACCGAACTCCTGAATTTCATGTCAGCTGCAGCCTTGAAAGTGGACATGAAGGCAGGGGCGTACTCCTTTTCCTCATTTTTTTTTGCCTTCAAGAAAGCTGCCTTGCATAATCTGGTTTTCCCCCCCACAAAGGGATGTTGCAATTGTGTGTTTCTTGGTTACAGTCTTCAGGGGGTTTCAGTCCCTTTGTGAGAACTCCTCCGGTAGGATGCAAGTCACCCTCTTCTGACTGCACCCTCCCACTGGGCCTGCTCTGTGTACAGAGTTCGCAGCATCCTCCTCAGGGTGTCTTCTCTTGGGCTGGTTCTGGGGGCGAGATGCTATGGCAGGTCTGAGTTGAAAGGTCACCTGGTGAGGGCATGTGGCTATTCCTTCCCTGGGAAAGCACAAGTTACCAGGGTCGGCATGCATGAGCATCCTGTGCCTTGCAGAGATATGGTGCACATCCCCAAGGCCAGAGCGCAGTTCTAACTGCCTCGTTCTGACGCATAGCAAGCACCTTGAGTTGCTTCCTGCAGGCCCACGTGTCGGCTGCAGGCAGTAACACATGGTCTCTGGTTGCACTGCAGGACAACGGAGCCGGAGAGACGGCCGCACTGTCGGTGCCAGAGCCTGAGACCGACGCAAAGGACGGCCTTCGGCGAACCAGAAGGACCAGTCGCCTCAGGAAAAGGAGGATGTGAGAGGAGTGGGCGATGGAAACGTGTTAGTAACCTAACCCTACCAATGCAGGGGGATTTTTTGCCTAAAAAAGGAGAACTGGAAAGAAACTCCTTCGTGGTACAACGTCACGACACTGGGTCCAGGGCAAGGGTTTGCAGACGGCCTTGGGTTCCAGTCCCGTTGGGCCTGCGTGCTCAACCCCTGGGCTTGCCTGGTGCAGCCGGGCGGTTCTTTGCTGCTCCAGCCTACCTCACGCAGGCTCTTACCAAAGGCATGTTTGCTGTTTTCAGGCAGCAGCTGGCAGTGAGAGCAACTGGTAGCTCTGCTCTGTGATGAGGAGCGCTGTGCAAAATTGGCAAGCGAAAAAATAAAATAAAATAGGGGGTCGTGGTTTGGGTGAAGGGAAGATGTGGGGAGCTATTGCATAGAGGAAGGAGCAAGAGGTATTTTGGGAACTGTGGGTTCCTTCTGCAGAGCTGAAGCGAAGCTGTGGTATTGCCCTGCTGTCTGGCATAGCTGTCCTTGCCAGACTGCAAGTCTCGCTGAGGCTCTTAGCAGGGTTTTGTGCGCACTGCTTTGGAGATCCAGCTGAGCAGCAACAGGGCAAAAGAGTGCTATGGGAGATGCTCCCTGCTTTGGAATTGTTGGTGGCCAGGGCAGGGGCAATTTTCAAGCTCAACTCATGCAGGATGGAAAGTTTCCCACACTAGGCTGGTAAAAGAACAGTGCTAGAGGAGCCAGGAGTGATGAGTACTAATCTGTTAAAAGCTGTCTGCCCTGGAGCCAGCCCCATCCTGTCTCCTGGCTGGTACTCTAATACTCTGTGGCATGAGTATATGCTATGTCTCAACTAGCAAGCGTGCTGTGACCTCGGGCTAAAAGGTACCAGCGAGGGCAAACTTCTAGGCTTGTGAAGTTGTTCTGCTTTTTAACATCTTTTGGATGCTCTCGAGCATGTGCTGCTGAAAACCCTTTGGCTAACAGGTATCCCATGTGCCCTTGTTATAGGAGCCCTGAACAAAGTCTGCTTTCCTGCGTGGCAGTAGCAGCTGTTTCTTGCACTACCAACAGACACAAACTGACCACTCGCACCTGGGGAAGACAGGCAAGTGGCTACACCGGTTCCTGTCCCCTCGTGGAGTCTCCCTTTTACTGCAGCTCTCATCGGGAACCACAGATCAGAGCCTGGGAAAAGGGAGATGCTTCCTCGACAGCCTGATTTGGTTCCAGCCTTCTCCTAACCCAGCCGTGGCACAGAGCAAGATGGGAGCCAGCAGGCTGTTGGAGAAGTCTGGAGGAAATGTTGAATGCTGCTTTGTTTGATTTGGGTTTGTTTATGTGTGAGTTGACCCTGTTTACATAAAGGTCTATCGCTGCTTGGAGCTCATGGCTCCCTTGGTGGCTTTAAACACAGTTTGTGTGTTAGGCGGTTCCCCAGCTCTGGATCAAGGCTGCCGAACAAGCCGGGGGTTTGTTTTGTACTTGAAAGACTGTGAATATTTGTTCAAATATAGTTCTATTTTTCTCATGTGAAGCTGTCCGAGTCTCTTGCTGCTCGCTGGCTGATGCCGTGCGCGCGTTCTCCTGAGTGGGTTCGATGCTCAGAGAGAAGCCAGGTTGACTTCACTTGCCTTAAGCCTGTAAAACCCGGGCTCAGGACCTGGGGGCTGGCAGCCTTTGGGGCTTATGACGCCAGAAACTGCCTGACCCTGCTTCCTCTTCCGGGGTCTGCCACGGACTTTGCTGCAACCCTTGACAAATCCATCGCTTCCCGTCACCATTTCCTGCCCAGGCAGAAGTGGAGTGCAAGTCTCACAGGAGTCTTGTGCAAGACCGGGGATGGACAGTTAAAGCCTGCTGAGGGCTTTGGATGGATGGCAGGGCAGAAGGGGAAATGCAGAGGAATGGGGCCAACTTCTCTGGACCCACACCAGTGATTCAGGTTTGTAGAGATGCTCTGAAACGTGGCCTTGCTGTCCAAGCCCCCTAGTCTTTGTCTTGAACAGGCATTATTCTTACCAGAGTCAGCCATCCCCAGAGTGCTGTGGTGCTATAATAAAATTTGATCCCTTTGCTCTAACGTGGCAGGGTTCCCTCTCCCGCCCACCTCCCAGAGCCTGGTTGGAGTCCAGTACGAACCGCCTGCCTTCACGCCGCTTGCTCCAGAGCTGAAGCTCTAGGTCCCACTTAGCACATGTCCATCCACACAGGGCTGACGAGGCACCTGGAGCTTTGTAGCAGTTGCGGCCCTCTGAGGATGCTGCAGAGATGGCAGTTCCTGCAGGACGGAGACATCGAAGTAGTAACCTGTCTTACCTCTGGTGTCTGAGCTGAATATCTTGCTCTCAGCATGAAGCTGTTGCCCGTGACATTCTTCCAACTCACCGTGTCAGTACTAAGCTACCCACGTGGTTGGTTGGAGGAAAGTCACGAGTGACTTGAATGCCAAGAGGGTTGAGTGACCGTAGCGCACAAAAGCCAGGACCATGGTAGTTTGGGATACGGGGCACAGAAGTGAATTGCCATTCAAGGCCCTGTAGTAGCCGGTCCTCGGAGGATGGAATGGGGGAGCTGGGGAAACTGCCCATTCCCCTCTGTCTCCGCTGCACTGGTGAAAACACCCTGTGTGTCTGACGGTTCCCTGGCTCTGGAGTAAGGCTGCTGAACAAGCCGGGGTTTGTTTGTCCTTTCACTCCCAGGCTGTGGGTTTGGCTCTGAAAGGCAACCGCTGCATCTGAAACATAACAGAGAGTATAAGGTGCAAGGAGTGTACAAATCACAGGAGTCACCAACAGCGTTACACGTCATGGCTGGTTCTGCCTGCCCAGCCCAAGTCATCAGTGAAGCCAGTTGCTTGAGCTCTGACTCAGCCCTTGGCATCAGGTCTTAGCTGTGCATGAGAAATTGCAAACTCAAGAAATAACGGACCTTTCCCTAGAAACCAGATGAAACATGAGAAAGTTGAGTCAATTGTTGGGGTGTTTTTTTCCCTTTGGTAGATATCAACTCCTGCTGCTTCACACTCAAATGCTTCAATACTGTTATTTGTGGGGGAGATAAAATGCTATTTCTGGCAGCTGGTACCATGGCAGCACCTGCAGCCTCTGGACTGCTGAAAGCTTCCTACAATTGTTTATAAAGGAATCGGCTAGGAGTAAGGATGGGATCTTGTTCTTTACTCTGGAACTGAAGTATTGTGACGTTAACTCCCTGCAGGCTGGTTGCAAAGAGGATGGAGCTGGACTGTTCTCAGAGCAAGGAGCAATGGGTTCAAGTTGCAGCAAGGAAGGTTTAGGTTGGATGTTCAGAAAAACTTTCTCACTAGCAGGGTGGTGAAGCACTGGATACCCAGAGAGGTTGTAGAGTCTCCACCCTTGGAGGTTTTTGACCCAGCTAGACAAAGCCTTGGCTGGGATGATGTAGCTGGGGCTGGTCCTGCTCTGAGCAGGGGCTTGGACTAGATGCGACCTCCTGAGGTCCCTTCCAGCCCTCATTGCTATGGATCTGTGAAAGCCTGGGTCTGCCCGGATTTGTCAATCGACACTTTCTTTTCTGACCCCCCCTTTCTCCAATGCTATATGTGCGGTGTATCTAATGCCAAGCATGGCCTCTGATGTAGCTACAGAGGCTGATTGCCTACAGCAGGAAGCACTGGGTTGTGGAAACTGAGCAGCTCTGATCTCTCCGCATCTATGATGGAGTCTGACAAGAGTCTGGAGAGGACAGAGAGCCTCCGTCAGCGCTGACCAGAAGCCTCAGACGTTCAGGAAGCGGAACCGGAGGGAAGCTGTCTCGAGGTCTTAACACATCCCACAACGAGCATGAGGCAAATCCTGGGTTGTTGATTTTTACCTCAGTTCCAAGAACAGAACCAGTCGTGCAGAAAAGAAAAAGGGGCCACAGAGGGCATTGGAAAACCACGTGCGTGCTCGCAATCCCCTTTCGTGCTTGCCACCCGGCCACCCCTCCACACACAGGGTTAACTCCTGGGTCCTTGCTTTGCCCAACTTGAGACATGTAGAGCTTGACTTTTTTTCCCAAGGTCTGAGCACCCACGGGTAGGGCCAAAGTCAGTGGAAGCCCAAAATTAAAGGCCACCTTTTAGCAACATCCAAAAGTAACCCGACTGTTGCCTGAGAGAAGGCTATATCCAAGGTAGTGAGGCTGGCTTTGAATGGCAGTTGTATTTAGCACCATTAGGTCTTTTTAAAACAAGAGCCCTGGTTCGGTGTTCTTTTCCCTGTCTCCAGTCCCCACAAATACAAAGCAGATAACTTTTGGAGCTGGGACAATAACCTGCTTCAGAAACTGTTTTTCTCATGTGAGACACGGTGAGTCTTATCCATGGGTCTTCCAGCCACTAAGTAGGGCTGCAGCACCTGTTCCTCGAGGGAATTATGCTGTACAGATGGGGAACTGAAGTGCAGAGAGGCTGACATCCCTCTGCAAGTCTGGGCTGAGTTATACAAAGCACTTATGGCCACTAGGTTAGTTTTTGTTGTTTTTTTTTTTTTTTCCCCTCCCTCCTGTGGCTTCCTCTTTTTTTTTTTTTTTATCTGTCGCCAATGAAAGCTGTTATTGACTGGTTTTCCCCTTTCTTCTCTCTCTGAAATCATGTTCCCCGAGCGATCGCTGGTCCAAAGATCAAAGGCTGCAGTCATGGAAGCGGTTTGCTCGGAGCCAGCCTGAACAGCAGGAGAACTGCCATGCTAAGGCTGAGAGAGGAGGAGACTTCTTGATACAAAGACCCAGGTTGGTCCATGCTACCGAGAGCGAGTTGTAGCTGCGGGAATGAAGGTCTGGCTTCCTTGATCCAGTGGGATGGGCACAGCGCCCCATGGCAGGGAAATGCATTGCTATATCTACCTGCTGGGATCCGGGGCTGGCTTTGCTGTTGAGCAGGGCAGCTGTTTCCTGAGGGAGAAGGGTATTCATCACCGACTTAACCTTGCTGCCCATATATGCAGGCAAAGTGCATGATCAGTCGGTCCATTTGAATCTTCCTAGAGCCCGAGGGGAGTTCTGTCTGCATGGGAACAGACCAGACTTGTGCCCTGGACATGACTTGGGTACTACAGCAAACCTTTTTGCCATGGCCTGCGTGAGGGCTTTTGCTGTAGGATCTGGTCCCAAATGGGCAAAACGAGGCATAAGAGGAAACTGCTCCTCATGTCCTAGACAGATGGGTCGGGGACGCCCTGGCTTGTTGCTTGTTTCCCTGCTTACGTCTGAGCTGATTGACTTCCCTGACTCTGGACTGAGCATCCAGCAAACAAAACTAGTTGACCACTGGTAGTTGCGCTGTAGCAAGTGTGAGCAGCTGGCTTCTGCACCTGGTGGCTACAGTCCTCTGAAAAGGCTCTGGGTGATGTCCAGCAAAAGTTCCCTAAGGTGCCAGCTGGCTGAGCAGGTGCTCGGGCGTTCTGGAGGATTCACCCTTTAGGCTTATGGACACGGCCCGAATGCCTTCAATGGGGCAATGGCTGCTGTGGTGTGCTCTGTGTCTCCTGGGAGCAGCTATGTGCCAGAGAGACCTGCAGGCATGGGAAACCTCTCCAGTATGCCCAGCCTGCAGGGATGGTTCCTGGTAACGTGACTGGGGTTATAGAAACGCTGCTGTCTGTGCTGAAGCCATGTGCCAGGGCTGCAGGGGCGAGGCAGTGGGCAGCACACAGTCTGCACCACTGCGTTACCGCTGCGAGTACGTATCACCACGGGAGCTGCTCCCTTGTCGGCACTCCTCCCCGTGCATACACTTGGCAGTTTCGCTTCCCCCAGCAATGAATCAAGAGGTGCCTGGCTCTGGGAAAGCAATAGAGCAGCTTTCGTCACAGCTGCCATAGGCTCTCCCTTTCCTAGATATGAGCTCTGGTGCCCTTGCCCAGGCCCTGTCGGCAGCTGGCAATGAGCTGGGGGGAGCAGAAGCCAAGGCTGCGCTAGCAAGTGCTCGTTTCCCTGCATGAGGGGAAGTGTGGCATGTATGAAGCATGCACAGGCTGTCAGGTTATTGCGGGAAGCCTCGTCCCCTTCCATTTAATGAGCATGTTCCCTTTCTGCCTGGGGCAAGGCCTCCCCTGAGCTGCTCTGACTAGCCTGTGGCATGTATCGCTTTCGGTGCAGGCGAGCTGGCCTGCCAGTACTTCACTGTCCGCCATGTCGGAGCCGGAGGATGACGAGACTTGCTGGCACCGCCTGGAGAGCTTCCGGGTGAAGCTCATCTCAGTGATTGAGCCCTCCCGGCTCACGCCCTACCTCCGGCAATGCAAGGTGATCAGCCACGACGACGAGGAGCAGGTGCTTAATGACCCCAGCCTCGTCATCCGCAAGCGGAAAGCAGGTGGGTGCTACGAAGCCTCTGACCACAGTGGGACCACAGCACCACACGTTCACCCAAGTGCCCTCCTGCCCTAGCCTCTATTACACGTGTGCACGCACACATACACCATCCTATTCTAGTCTAATGTAGGCCTCAGCCCGTCAGGGTTAGATCCTGCCCCTGCCCCAGCTCAGATGCCTGTCAAAGCCAGTCC